TTCGGCCCCCCCTTTTCCTCCAAGCGGGGAGCGCCGGAGAAAACGAGGGGAAAAAAATAGAAAAAAAAATAATAAATAAAAAGTGTTTCTGTGCGGCCGCTCGGCAGGGCCCGGCGCGAGGGTCCCGCGGCTCGAACGGAGACCGGGCTGCGCCGGAGGCCGCGAGCGGAGCCCGGGGGGGTCTAACGAGGAGCCCTCGTTAGGGGCTGTGCAGTTAGCAGACCCCGGGGTGCTGCTGCTCTGTGTCACCCTGTGTCACCGCGTGTCACCCCATGCCATGTCACAGCACCCCGGGATGCTGCAGCCAAGGCCGTTTTGCAGACGCATTTTTGGGTTGCTTTGCTCTTTTTTTTAGCATTTTTTGCAGCGGATCCTCAGGTGACACTTGGGATCCAAGGAGGGTGGCAGCAGCTGCCTGGCATTTTCACCCGGGTGGGGAAAAAAAAAACAAGTGGTTTCGGGGCCCCCAATGCCTGTTTGCTCGGTGCTTCCAAAGGATCCATCCCTGCTCCCTTCCCTCTTCCCAAACTCTGGACTCCCGTGGCCCATTCCAGGGCTTGGAAAGGCTCCGTTTTTCTCCAGTATCGGGGAGGAAAAGTCCGGGGGTGGCAGAAGCAGGAAGGTTTCACACAAGAGCCGCTGTGTCCTGCTGCAGGGACGGATCCCGCCTCATTGCTGAGCCGGAGCGCCTGGAAAAAGGGAAAAAAAAAAAAAACACAGGGAAAAGCCGACATTCCCGAGCACGTTTACCCAACAAAGTGGATGCCAATCGCAACACGCAGCCAACAAGGGAATTTTTGTCCCACACAGGGGTTTATTTCCCCCCTGCTGCAGAAAATCCCAATGGATTTTGCACAGAGGGATGGGAAGCGCCTTGGGAAGGAGGTCGATGAGCCAATGGGTTGGGAGACGTCACCCTGGGGACGTGGAGCACCCCGTGGGAGCAGAGCAGCCTCCGGATGAGCCCGGCCGGGCTCTTCCCTGCGGATCTTTGGGCCCACGCGGTGCCTCCCTTCCCCATCTGCAGACTGAGGAGGCCACAAGATACCAGGAGCCTCCCTGGAGGCCCTTGGAGCTGCCAAGGATGCAGATCCCTTGGCCTTGGATAGGGATGCGGATGGAGCCATCAGATCACCCTGGGATGGGAGATGGCCCCACGGGCACCACCCGCTGTCCCCACGAGGGACAGTGGCACCTGGGGGTGGCACCACTCAGCCCTTTGCTCAGGGGCCACCTGAGGGCCAGGACATCCCAACCTTGGAGCTGGAGCCTCATGTGGGGCTGGAGCTTCGGAAGGAGAAGGTCCAAGAGAGAAACCCCAGGACAAGACCCTCCCGAGAGCTCCCAAACCTTGGCCATAGTTGACCAGGAGCGGGGAGCATCCTGCCTTGGAGAGGCCACTCGTCCGTCCCGAGCAGCTCACCCGACCAAACCCCAGAAGACAACGGTGCAACAAGGAAGCCTGGAGACAACGTGGCCTCAAAGGACGCTCCATCCCATCCCCGCTCCACGTGGAGCGCCGGAGACGACCTATTTGCGAAATAAATGGAGAAGGAAGCCAGAAGCTCAGCCCAACATCTGGCCAGGGCTCGGGGCGGCCAAGTCCTCCGTGAAGGCAGCGTTTTGTGGAGCCGTCGCATTGAGCTGCCTCTTGGCAACCAGCGAATCCTCTGCTTAAATATTGACCTGGACCAGGTGTAGCCAGAGCTGCCCGGAGGGAGCCGGAGGCAGGTGGCGAAGCTGGAAGGTGCCCTGGAAAGCGGCGGGGCCAACACGGCGGATGGGGGATTCCACGGGCGCGGGGAGACGTGGCCGAGCTACGGCGGGATGGAGCTTCACATCTGGAAAAACGGGGAAAGATTCCTGGGTGGAAATTGGGAACATCTCACTTGCACATGTGGGAGAAGCAAACGTGGATGCTCTTGAGCAAGGACCTGCAAGGGGTTTTAGTAGCACCAACAGGGCTCAGGAGGCCTCCAAGCCACCCTGGCACCATGTTGGGGTCCAGCACTTTGGCTAAAGATGCTTCGGATACAGGAAACACCAGGAAAACGTGTTTGGAGTCCCCCGGGAAGAGGAATCCATGAGCTTTGCTCTCCCACCTCCGTCCACCCCATGAAGTTCTCCGAGGTGGCAGCAAAGCACAACCAGGTCACCCAGGCCCCGTTGGCCATCGGCCGCCCTCCTGCGACAGCAGCAGCTCCCGGCTGGAAAAGGGAACAACCCGAAGCCAGAAGCCACCCCAGAGCCCATCCCGGGGACACGGGGACCCGGCCAGACGCTCCTGAAGGAACCCGGGTCTCAGCGCGGATGAAGGCGGGGAGAAAATTCCCGACTTCCAGGCACACGGCGCGGGCTGAAAGGAGCATTGAGAAGCTGGGCTGGAGACAGCGGGATGGGTATTTACAGAGCCACGTGTGCGAGGAATGTCCGCGCTGCGAATAACTGCGCTCTTTGGGAGCATCAAATAAAAACCCTTGCTCATGTCTAGGAACAAGGATACAGGAAGGAGGAAAAAGTCAATATGACCTGAAAATCCCCAGACTGGGCTGGTCGGGCTCGGTGATTTATTCTATTAATACGCCAGAAAGAAGGGCAGGAATAAACGTGAATGCATTTTTGGCGGCCGCAGCCGCGCGCCCGGGGGGGTGGGCGCACAGGCGGCTTTGGGCTACGGCCCCGCGCGAGGCACAAGCCGCCTTTGAGGCTCCCCGGCAGCTCCTGGGACGGAGGCGGCCAAGGAAAACAGGGCCCCGTTGACTCGGAGCGCGGGACGGCGCAGGGGGCTCCTCAGACCCCAACCCGCCTTTGGGCGGGCGCTGAAAGCTCCAACTCTGCCCCGAGCAAGTCCCAAAGGAGGTTCCGGGATCCAAAATTAGGATCCGGACTCAAAACAGCGTCGAGACGGTGACAGCACACGAGCCTCGAGGCCTTCAGCTTGCAGCGGTACTAGGGGGAGAAAATTGCCTTTTCCCTCCATCAGATTCCTTTAGCGCTCGTGTTTCCCACCTAAGATGCCCCTGTCAGGACAGCCCCGGCCTGCGAGGGATTTATTTTAAGCAGAGAGTGAATTATGTGAACGGGTCTCCCCAAGGAAGCGCTGGTTGCTAGCAGAGACACAGCCCGTGCTAGCAGGGATCTGGTTTTACAGCTAGTTTTATTTAACAGTGAATCATTACAAAAAATAAAATCGAAGATACAGTTTACCCTTTTTTTTTTTTTTTCCTCAGATCTTTACTTGCAGTAAAAGATAGAAAAAGATAGTAAATCAGCTCGGTATAAAACACAGGGATGGGAAAGGGAGGGATACAAACCAGCCTACAAAGAACACAACCCGGTGGGAAGCAAGGGGACAAGGCAGAAATCTTGTACAAAACTACTGCTTACAGGTACAGAAAAATGTATAAAATATTACCCCCTCTCTGGAGACAAAAATACAAAAGTGGACATTATTTTATTCTTTACTTACACTTAAAAAGGTTATGTACACTAGAGACAAGAACCAGGTTCGGCGGCTTGGGAAACTTGTCAAAACACTTGCCACTTCCTCCCAGATCTCATTGGAGAATAAATTAGAAGCGGTGGAAAGCATCAGCAAAGCCGGATCCGAGCCGCTCCGGAGAGCCTAGAGGAGGGAGGCGCTCCAGAAAAAACGTTCGAAAGCATCGAGGCTTCCCGATGCCCCCAAAAACTCCCACTTTGGGGAGGTTTTTAGGTGCTTCGGAGCATTTTGAGTTGACAAGAGCCATGCCCCTAATCCTCAAGGCTCCCAGGTGGCAGATACCAAATGTCCCTAGAGACAGGAACTTAAGGGATACCTCTGGAAGCACTTCTGGACTCCAACACCCTCCAATACCTGGATTCAAGGCAGCCTCTGACCTTGCACCAGCCTTTCCCCCTCTCCGAGGCAGAACATGTGCAAAGTATCATGGAAAAGGGGGATGCCCCGGAGCGATTTACACCCATCCTGCTCATCCGGAACGAGCGGCGCGAGGCCGGAGGCGGCCGGAATCCGGGGTCTTGCTGGGAGGTAAAGCAAGGGCAGAAAAAAGCACTCAAAAACTTCGCTTTTTGTCACTCGGGGAAAAAAAAGCACTGGAAAATATCCACTGATGCATTGATTCTATGCTACCGTAAATCAAATTTGTACCTGAACTGCGTAAACACTTGTTGCTAAAGAACTGGGAGACAAATCCCACGGGTGCAAGAGGGATTCTAGGGAAACTTCACCCAATGGAAACAAGTGACCGGCTTCGGACACTTGGGTCCTGCTTAACGCACCCGTGGGACACCCTACCTGCCCCAAGCCACAGGTAGGTGACAGTCTCTGGATGGGTGACAACAGGTAGAGCCTGGGATAGGTGAAAAACGCTGGCTTGAGGACAGAGATAGGTAAGAAAGGAGTGAACTGTGGAGGACGTATCAAAAAGCCAGCGTTGCTCACGACCATTGCTCCTCTGGGCCGTTCCTGGCAAGGATTTGCCTCCTCCTTGTCGCTTCCTACCACCAACTGCTGGAAATCCAGGAGCAGCCGCTTGCTACGTGCTGGTTTTGTGAACGGGGCCACCTCCGAGGGCAAAGCCTCCCTATCCCAAACAACCTCCAGCCTTCCCTCACCCTGTGCAGAGCAGAGCTCTCCCCGTGCTCAAACCACCCAAGTGCCTTCCCTCCCCCCGAAATCCAGCCCTCTCCCCGCAGAGGGTCACGGCACCAGCTCAGAATCAATGGCAAGAGCTGAAAAAAAAGCAGGAAAAGTTCCTCGAAAGTCCAAAGCAGCCCCCGCTTGAGTCTCAGCACCTCAAATTGCTTGTAAAAATAGGCTTGGAAATAATAAAAAACAAACAAAAAAAAAAGGCAAGTGTGCTTCTGAACATTTCCGTCGCGCATTGGTCCGTGAACGATGTTTTATCAAAAAATTATCATACAGAGTTCGCCTGCGGTTTCTTTGACTGAAGCCCCGGGCAGCTCCGGGCCTGTCGCAGCTCTGACCGCGGAGCAGGGGAAATCTGGGCACTTCTGATACAATCCTCAAGGAATCCGCTCTCACCGGCATCATAACAGCTTGCGGTGAAGGATTTCCCAGGCCATTCGCTTTCGGAAATAGGGCATGTGTTGCTGTGGGTGGAGGAAAGAGAGAGGGAAGACAGGAAACGTTTATCACGTCGGACCACGCATCTACCAGCCCCTGTCCTAGGTATAATTGTTTATAAATGGTGCTTTGAGACCTAGGTAGTGACATAGCTTGATGCCATTCCCTAATAACTGGAACTAAAAATATATATAGGACATTCCATGGAGGCTGGCAGCACTGAAATCGCCTTGGATTTGGGCTGTGAGGCTCCATTTTCATTCCCAGCACTACCTGGTTCCACATATATGGGAAACTAACTTTGTGAGCTACTGCAAACTCTACCAGTGCTTTTGGGTGCAATGGAGGACATGCGGGTGGTTTTTTCAGGACAATTTTACACAGCTAGTGGGTAATAATACTGCCACCACACTGCAGCTTATGGCCTGTGTTGAGAACGGGTGCTGGACCCACCTGGGTGAAGTTGATGGGCTTGTCTTTGGTAATGCAGTCCGCGTACTTGCAGGCAAACATGCCGCAGTCGCTGCCGTTCATCTGCTGCGGGATCTCCTGCAACGAAACAAAAAACCCAGGATGGGCCTTTAGAGGAGCAGGTGCCACTGAGGAGCAGGGACCCCCCACGGCACCTGGAAGAACATTCCACAATCAGTAAAACTACCCAGGATGGGTTTATCCAGGTGCAGGACAAAAGCAAGGACCGAAATGGAGTCTTCCCTCTGCACAAACCTACCTGACTCCTCTTACTCAGCAAGGACCAGCCATTGGTGTCGAATTCTTTCCTTTTCTTGTCAAGACTTTCCTGTTTTAAGTATTGCCTGTAGGAATGAGAGAACAGAAAAGCTTAGAGGGACAAGGAAAACCAGCCACGGTCCAATATGTGCAATGTCAGTTTACCTAAAATGTCCTCAGACATGTTTGCAGATTTAATGCAAAATGGAAGTCCAATATTTTCTTCTCAGCCCTGGCCATTTTAAAAGGGCTCTACAGACCCATCCTTTGAGGAGCCCTAAGCAATCAAAACGAGGTCCAAGCAGAACTCCAAAACTCATCCCAAAGAAAATACCTGCCAAGCAACGAGTCAAAACCACAAATAAACCAGCGAGAACAAATCTCATTTATTTGAGAGTGACTCACAGCAGAGAAAAGCTCTGCAGCCCCCGGGCTGCCTCCGGAGGTCTCTGCAAGCAGAGTGTTAGGGAGAGGTGAACTCGGTCCGCGAGGGCTTCCCCTACATCAGGGTCTCTTGTCCTTTGAGGATCTAACTTAGCAGAAACGGAGACAGCAGCAGCTATGTAATAACCTTAACAGCATCCCAGCAGCTCTGGGACAGTGACCCTTGTGTAAAGCACGAGGGAACATCCTGAAATTCCTCTTGAGCCTGGTGGCAGGTCCAGCACATGGGCAGGTTCTCCCCTAGAGCTCCCCTTCACTTCAGTTTTCCTTAGCAGCTCCTTAACAATTTCCTTAACAGTTTGAGAGTGTTTTCAAACAGGGCCAAGCTGGGGAAAGTGGACCCCGTGACCCTGATATTCTCAAATATAATCCAAGCATTGGGAAGGAGGGGATGGGAAAAGTCCCACCACAAGCAACTCTGAACCACTGAGTGAAACGCACTCAATAAAGAATCAAACCAGGAGTAGAAAGAGAGGAAAAACTTCCCTCTTCAATGACCAACGCCAGCACAGAGCTGTTGGGAGATGAAAAAAAGAATGAAGCAGGGCAAAAAAAAGAAAGAATCAAACCAAGAGTAGAAAGAGAGGAAAAACCTCCCTCTTCAATGACCAACGCCAGCACGGAGCTGTTGGGAGATGAAAAAAGAATGAAGCAGGGCAAAAAAAAGAAGGTGCGAAAGGGAAAAGCAGAACGGCCCCGTTCCACTGCCCAGAGCTGAGGAGCGAGGAGGTGATAAAGCCCAGGCCGCCCTTCCCCTGCTGCAGGATCACTCGTGGTTATTGTCACACCTTTCCTGCCCCAAGAGGCTTCTGCCAGTTCAGCCCGAGTCACCCCAGTGACCAGGCAGGCAGGATTTTGCTTTTTCTCTGGGCTAGGATTGGCATCTCCATGAAAAAAAGTCAGAAATTCCATCAGGACCATGTACGAGCATGCCCAGGCTGTGCTTTTCCTCTGTGGATGAACCCCCTGAGCCACGTGGTGTTCACAAGGAGCTGGAGATGGGGACAGACACGAAGGCAGGAGCCGGGGGAGCCCCGAGAGACAAGGTGACAGTGTCAGAATGTTCCCAGTGGCCTCAAAAGAGCTTCTCTCTGTCACCTACCAGCGTCACTAAGTGATGTTCAGCTTTTCAGATGCCCTCTGTTAATCTTAGCTACAAAAGAGCTGGACAGATCTACCAAAGTCATCTTCAAGGCTGGCACCTGCTCAAAACAGCTCGAGGATTCTTCTCACTGTTGTGGCTGTGATGAGAAAGCTTGGAGAGGAAAAGCAGGGCATTAAATGCTGCTGGCGCGAAGGGACGGGTCAAAAGAGCATCTGGCACAGAGAAAAGCAGGGAGGAAGGTGGGTTTGGCCGCCAGCGCGGGGAGATCTGCCATCCTCTGGAAATGTGATCCCCGAGGCTTGGCTGAATCACATTGTGCCATTAGGGAACTCGGAAGCGGGATGCAGGAATGGGGCGATGTGACCCGCAGGGAAACCCAAGGGATGGAGGGTCAAGGGCTGCTGCCTTGGTGCCAGGCAGGGAATTTTTCTATCCTAACTCCAAATAAGAAACTAAAGGAATACGTACATTGGTGGAGGAAAACTTAGAGGAAAAGCTCTACAGACCTGGGTGACCAAGAACAGTCAGGATCTGACAGGGGATGCTCAACAACTAGCAAGTCTTCCCTCTAAAAACTTGTCACAACTCGTTTTTGCTGAACGCAGGACATCAAAGAGGAGAGTTTCCCTTCTGGCCACCTCTACTGACAGCGAGAGAAGCCTCCCTATCTCCTCTCCAAAAAAGGAGCTAATGGATGGAAAAGAAACTCCTTCAAGATAAGGGCCAGTCTCCGGTTGTGGCCGGGTGACGGTGGAAGGGAGCAGACTGTGCACCACGACACAACCCCCATGGCAACATTAATTAGCTAATGGCCTCCTTTCAACCGCAAAGAAAGAGAGATCCCGGCAACTGCTGCCTGTCACAGAAGCCCTTCCAATTAAAGAGTCTCCAATTAAAAAAAGAGCAGCCTCACACAGCCCACTTTGTTCTGCCTGTCGAGATGGAAGCCAAGCTGCACAGATAAATAAAGGGAGGCTCCACGCGAGGGCCTGGGATGAGCCTCCGAAGCGATTCCGTGCGGATCGGCTCCATGCGAACGGCACCCGGAGGGGTCGGTGGTGGATAAAGCCACCGGGTGCCTCCTGCCCACCCAATTCCCTCTGCAAATGCTGATACGCAGACACCAGCCAGGAAATTTGGGGCCGTTTTCTGAGAGAGCAAAGAATTAACTTACTCTGTGTGGCTGCATTACTGTCACCGTCACCTATGTGGCTTCCTATGAGCAGCCTCTGCAGATCTAGTCCAAACACTGGTTAATGTAGCCTGAGAAATGCAGCACCAACCTGCTTAGGTAACAAGTGGGTTTTGGAGGGGACTGAGAGATAAAATGGGCTCAACTTCAAATTGCAAATTAGACAATTCAGGGTGGCAGAATTTAATTGCACCTGATGAGCTCTGCCAGTGTCTCAGTGAGGAGTGTGACACAGAATCGAATCTAATTGCAGGCCAAATCCAAAGCCAACGCACCCAAGATCCCTGCCAAACACTGCAGACCTCTATCTCGTTTCTCTTCAATCTGAAAATGGATTTTTGCCCTTTGCGGGGCTCATACACACAGGAAAACTGACCGCGTCCCTAGAGGAACTGTTGAAATCGACTCTGTAACAAGCTGTTAAATGTCTAAAACCTTGAAATTAAGGGGGACATTAAGATACCCCTTTAATACAGATTTTGCCACTAGCAGGAGACAAGATGATTTCGGAGGCCTGGCCAGCTCCCTGCGTTCCCTTCCCTGAGATCTCCCCAAGCACTGGTCTGCTAAAGTCACATTTTTAACTAACTGTAACAGATTGGTTTATATCTGATCCAAAACACACAACCCTGGGCCGAGATACCGAGCGCTGCCTTTCCCAGGGAGCAAACCCAGCAAAACAGAGTCGGGATTCCCAAAATCCGCTCCGGGAGGGCTCACATCCGAGTCCCAGGTACAAAACCCAAGTGCGACAGGGAGGTCAAGCCATAAATTCCTGTGGATCCCGCTTGCTCCTTGGCCAGTGCTTAATGTGTTATCTTCCCTGTGCCTCGGTTTCCCTCCTCTGTAATTTAGGGCTAATCAGCAGTAACTCACCACCTTTAGGAAGCTCTAAAGATTGAAAGCATGAAAGGGTCACTAACCATGAATAGGACCTCCGTCCCTTCTTCCCGGTGTGATCCTCCCACTGCACTCAATCAATAAAAGCCTCCTAAAAGGAAACAGAGGGAAAACAATTATGTCCAGGGCAACAGTGACCCAAAATCCTGGGTCTCCACCACTTATCCTGCACGGACTCAGACACCTCGTATCCTCTGGCACTGTCTGCTACCGACTCGGAGACTCATTCCTCACCCCAGACCCTTAAGCCAACTATGGAGAGGATTCCTGGGGCCCCCTCTCACCTCCCAGGTGTCTCCTTCCAGCTGCCTGCACTGTCTCCAGTGCAATCAAAGGAATTCCAGCTGCGGGAACGGCAGGAACAGCTCTCTCCTAGACCCCCTGCCCAAAGGCAGGGCAGCTCTGCTTGCACTGCTCTCAGAAAAGCCTTTGAGCATAAAGGCACAAGCAACACAGCAAAGCTAAGAGAACTTCTGCCCAAAAGCTTTGTTTTTCCCTTCAGTTTCCCCCCTTCAGACCAACACTCCAGATCCCTATTGAAAAGAAAGGGAAACATCTATTTTTTTTCTTTTTACGATCAGTTGAATGACCCCAGTGTGCGCAGCCTGCAAAGCACCTGAACTGGAAGAGGCAGGCGCTAAACAGACTGGAACTGATTAAATGGCATTTGTCTCCTGTCTGTCTTTACCGTTATTAACATTCCTTGACTGAATGAGTGACACCTCCACGGACGCTCTCAACCTCAGGCCAGGGGGTTTTTGCGGCTGGAGATCAGATTCCAAAGTCGGAACGCAGCGGAGACAAGGAGCAGAACGGCCGCTGACCCGGGGTCGGCACGCGAGCCACGGCTCTTCACAAGCCCCTCTGGAATCTGCTTCGCACCAAGCCCGGCAGCCCTACATGACTAATACCTTCCCAAAAGCAGAGGATTTTTCTCCCCATCCTGGGGGGAATAGCTCGTTTTTAGTCGTACTCCATCCAGGATATGGCAAGGGGGGAGCACTTCAAGCTGGCCACTCTGGGGTTTCACTTGCCACACTGCTCCAAGCGTGCGCCGCACAGGGGCGGCTCATGCCCTGCTCAGCAAGCTCAAAGCAAACCCATATTTGCTGTTTGCAAGAACAATTTCACCCAGCTCAGCTTTGGGTGCAGGTTACGCCCCGGTGGAACTCGGCACAGAAGAGACCTGTGCAAACCTCTATCCGTGCCCTGAGGCAAGAGCCGCTTCCGAACTCCACCTTCACCATCTCCAGAACCTCCTTCTCCCAAGGACCGAGTTCCTGAGCTGTTCTTTGCCATGGGCTGGAAAAGCTTCCACCAGGAGATGCCACATCTTGAAGGAGCCGCAGGACTAGTGACGAACCCCTGCTCTTTAGGGTCTGGAAAGCTGTTCTCCTCCTGCTGAGGATGCACGAGACGGCGCTGGCACAACAGATGGGTGAAGTCTGGTGTCTTCAGCAGGCAGCTCTGCAACCTGGCTAAGCCTACGGAGGTACCATTACCCTCCCTGAGGGATCTTCCAGAAACAGATGAAGACAGAGCTTCCATACAGGACCCTTTTGCAGACCAACTGCCCTTATTATTGTGGAATGCGTCAGCAATGCTGGATGAAACACAAAGCACGAGAACTGAGATGTTCCTATGACTTCTCCCTCCTCTTGGGACCCAGAAAGGGACTGTTACCACCAAAAGGTTGTATTTCACAGTCACAGCAAATCAAGAAGCTGCCTGATTCTGAACAGAACTCGAATTGAAGGGCTACTCACAACAGTATCCTGCAGGCTTCACTGTTTATTCCACCCATGGAGTCATAATAGGTGATGCTTTTTTTCCTGAAGTCTACAACCTACATAAAGAGAGACGTGTTAATGATGCAACAGGAGCTCAGCTGATTTCTAGGAGGCACCTTCTCTGAGCCTCGATCCTGCTCAAAGCGAAGTTCAGGCCACTTACAGCAATTCCCCTAAGGACACGAAGGATTTTTAAGGCCTTCTAGATCCTTCTTGTGCCCCACGGACGTCCCCCCAAACCTCCCCCTCGCTGCTGCAGCACTTCAATCTCTAGATCAGCTCTCCTCAGAACACCCCGGCACAACACAAGCGCACTGTTAGCCCTGTTGTGAGAGGCACAGCCTGACGGATAGAATTACAGACCGGGTTGCTCCACCTGGCTTGACACACACCAAGTGCCCCAGGAATTGGTGCCCCCGGGCTCTTTTTCGGGGCCCCTGCCCCATTCCCCCATCGCTGCCCCCCAGCACCGTCCTGCAGAGCAGCTCAACGTCCTCCGCAAGAGGCTGCAGCAAACTGAGGCCACCTGCAATTCGTTACCAGGTGCCAGCAGCCGCGGGCAGGGACGTAACAGAACTGGGGCACGAGGTGGAGAGCGCTGGCTTTACTTTATCCAGCTTCTAAATCTTTCCAAAACAATCCCATGGCAATGTCTCTAAAGATGAGCTTGTGGGAATGTGGAAACGAGATCTTTCTCTAGGGAATACACAAGTCTTAGGTGAACTTCTGGTTTTTCTTCTTTTTTTTTAAAAAAAAAGGAGGTTTTTTTTAAGGCTAGAAAGACACCCAAAAAGTTACTGTTCTCTTGGCTCGTTCCGGAATTTGATTTTAGCTACAAACTTGAAATTTCCCCCCCTGCACAAATACCTGACGGTTGTTTCACCCAAGCACCACAAGATTTTAGGTTCAGGCACAGAGTTTATCTGCTCCAGCTTCTCTCTACTGTGAATAGCTTTAAGACACTCACTGCTAGGCACCAATGCACTCCCAGATGAATAGGCACCAAGAGGAGGTCCACAGAGAAGATATCCACTTTTTTAGTCCACCGTTTCACTGCTTGGTACCCTGCAGTTTTTAATTTGGTGAAGAAGAAGGTATTGAACGCATGAACTGTTGGCAAACCCTTCTCTTTGCTCCGCTCCATCAGCAAGTTCATGTAGAAATTAATGATCTGGGAAAGAGAAAGCACCCACAGCACATTAGGTTGTTGGCACCTCTGCAAAGAGCGCTCTGCACGTGGGGAAAGGCAGGCAAGAAGCTACTTCTCCCTCCATCTGTCACTGGAGACTGATGTCAGGGGGATTTACAAGCCCCACAAGCCCAAAAAGACTTAGAAATACAGTTGTATACGTGGAGGATCTGAAATTTTTGCCCTTTCAGCTACACGGGCAGTCCCACTCCTCAATTTTTTTTTATTTCAAGTGCATTTTTTGCCAAGGGGAGACAAACTGCTCCAGAGCATGAAGAGGAGCGCTTTGATTTCCCAAATCGCTCTGACATCCCTGCACAGAGGAGACAAACACCTGCTCATCCCTTCAAACACTTGGAGCTGCCGAAGGAGGATGCCTCAAGGGCGCAAGAGGGGCTCCTCACCTCATCGTTGAGCCAGTTCAGGTTATTGAGGGTCTGAATGTCTTTCCGAGTGATTGTTAACCGAAAAGCTTCGCTGAGGACCTCATCCTGGTTCCCACCTCGGAATACATTCTTTATTTCTTTTTCCATTTCCTGCAACAGATAAACATCACTGAAGTGAGAGCTCCTGCTAGTCCCATAACAAAAGTGAGAAGCAAACATGGATTTACTCATTGCTCCTTGAAGGATACAGAGGTTTTGAGGCATTAGCAGTGCACACAGCATGGGGTCCAGTTTTATTTCACCTAAACTTCTCTGACTGACCTCAGGCTCTGATTCCAAGAGCCAGGAATGACTTGTCTGGTCCTCTGGTCCTCTCCCACCTTCTAAACAGCAGGCTGGAAAAGGCCACCCAACTTGTGCTGTTACTTGAGCTACAGCACTCTCTAGCTTCACAGTTAGACTTGTATCATGCACCCAAGTATCTGTTTCTGTACGCTAGATCCAAGCGGAATTACCTCAGTGATTTCAGGGAATTCCTCTTCACCATCAGCTGATTTAGCATCTTCTTTCTCTTCTGGGACCACAGTGACAGGAATTTCTTTCTCAAGGGGAACTCGAAGATTTAAATCCACCAGATCCTGCACTGAGTGCTCCTGTTCCTGCAATCGCTGAGAGAGAGACCTTAGATCACAACGTATCCAAGAGAGCCACCTGTGTCGGGGTTATGAGGGAGCTGCATGGAAGCAGATGTTCCAGAAGATGTGGAAAAGGGTATGGAAAAGGGACTTTGTCCATAGCACTACTGAGAACCCTGCCATGGAGAAGGGCAAAACAAGGACACACTGGGGTTTGAAGGACCATATTTTTGTCATTTCTCTCTATCCATTGTGGTTTTTGTTCTGTGATTTAACACCCCATTTCTAGTACCTCCTCTCTGTTACCTGGCTTTGCAGCTGCAAGGCCAGCGCTTTCTGCTCTTCGATTTGACGCCACCTCTCCCGAGCTCGCGAATCATAGACGCTGGTCCTGAAAAAACAAAGTTTATTTGAGCAAATCGAAATCTTTTTCTGTACGTGAACACACAAAGCAGGAAAAAAGATCCACTAAAAGGCAAGCAGGGAGCTTGGGGATACTCCACCCAACACCCAAATCTGACGTTTTGCTTCAAGAGCATCAGTGCCATCTGCTTCTGGTGGCTGTAGGGGAGAATAGGGGACCTCCCACCAGGAATCAAAAGGTGCTGAGAATTTCTCAGTGTCACAACTGTGGCTCAGATCACACCTTATCCGGCACAGATGATGGAGATGCTCCTTTCAGCACATGTCCAACAAACCCTTCCTTTCTCTGCTCTGTTCTCCCTACCTCCCATGGCAGCCTCGTGGCTGTGAAAGTTAGGGGCAATTTCAGTCCTGGCAGTTGCTGAAGGAGCAGGAAGCAGAATGAATTGCAGGACTAAAGGGTAGAGAAGACATGGACCTACATGAGCACTTAAGCCTAAGAGCTTAAGGTTTCTAGAGACTAAGTCACTCACTTTTATTTTACCTAGGGAAAAAAGCACTAGAAAGGATGCAAACTTTTGTAAATCTAATTCCAGGGTTGAGAAGAATCTATTTAAATGGTGAGCAAGTGATAATTAGCTTTTTTGTTGTGTCTTTATCACCCACATGCACTTACAGTTCTTTGATCCACAGTTCTGCCTGGAAGAACGGGAGGCTAGAAAGGGACAGAAGAGACAGTCATGAATCCTTTCCTTTGCACTTGGAGTAGGTAATTGCCTGAAAACTGATTTATAAGCAGTCTCTGGACACCCCAAGTCCTAGACAGACAGTAAAAGCTTCAGACAGATATGTCAGTAATTTGCCATCTCTCAAAAAAGGTTTGATGTATCAAATTCTGACTAATAATGTATGGGGTTCTGTACATTACTACAGCAAACTGCTCTCTCCTCGCGAAGCATTTAAAGAATCACCGGTCACCTTTTACTCTCCAATCTCCTCTCTCACTGAAATCCAAAAAAAACCTTCTATATATCCCACCCCTTCCCATTGTACAGCCTCTTACCTTGGAGCTGGAGTTCTGGGATCCTTTACCTTGAGCAAAATGACAGAGTCTGACCCTGGAGAGGGCAAGATGAAGGGAGGATGTTACCCTCAAAATTACCATCAAAATTATCACCAACTTCCCCAACTGCTGAAAAACTTTCAGCCCAGCATAGAAAAAGAGGTGTTTGTTTTGGTACCTTCAGACTGCGTGCTCGATGCTGGTAGATTTTCTGTGTGATGCTGCGTTGGGGAGTTATTGGACTCGAAGATATTTGGGGGATAATTGGATGCTGAGTAGAGCGATGGTTTGGGGGACAGCTGCTCCTGTGCCCGGAGAGTGCTGGGTGCTGAACTGGCTGGTGCGACACTGTGAGATTCAAACAGCTTTGAGGTCTGGGTGGAAGTTTCTTTCATTAAGGTTTTACTGGAATCTGAACATCTGGACCTAGGAACAAGGGAGAGGGAGTTTCCAACACAGCCCCGCAGCCCTGTCAGTCGGAGGGGTGTATTTTACCTACTCACAGGCGGAAGGGGAGCAGCGAGGAGGGTTTGGCTGTGGAGAACTGTTTGCCTGTGACCATCTGAAGTAACTGCCTGTAGATCTCTCGCTCTTCCTCCCGAACCGTCTGCAGGGAAATAACCAGACACCTCTGGCCAACGTGATTTTACACAAAGACTCGACAAACCCGAAGGTGCAGGAGCATCCAGAGGTCCCAGAGAGCTCAACCATCAACTAAGATCAAACCAGCTGCAGCCTGAGGTGCTGACACAGAGTCAAGGCCACTTTCTGCCTGCTGTAAGGAGCAGGCAAAGCCACTTAGGGCACCTTCCCCTGCCTCAAGCTCTTCGTGATGCTCAAGAGAGATGACTTAGAAAGAAATGCACCTTAATGAGCCCCCTTGGCCTTCCCTTTTACCTCTTCGGCCGTGCTGACGGGCCGCCTCGGGGTCTTCTTGGGGCTGAGCAGGCCGCGCCGGCACGGGCCGCTCCAGGAGGGGCTCTGCGCAGGTTTGATCGGGAACGCCGACGCGTGGCAGTGGTGGTTGGACTTCCCTACAAAACTGTTGGACACCCCGCTGTGAAGAGAGAAGCAAAAGGATTTCCTTCGTTGTGCGCTTGTTTGGTTAAGTAATTCTACCCCTCTCTGCCCCCAAACCCAGCCAAGATCCAGACCAGACAGCTTTGGTCCGAAACTACTTTATTTCATTTGCTTTTTAAACTATTCCAAGGCTTAAACCTAGCTCTCTGTCAGCTTGATCTGCCACCGCTCGTGATGCCAGCGAGCGGGTGACGCTTGCGTGGCCAAGGAGGTGCCACCAGGTGGCACTGCGAGGCCGAGGAAGCGGAGCCGGGAAACCCTGCGGAGACCTTCCCGCCACATCCACCCGCTCTCCCCGTCTCCTCGCGGGTTTACCTCCTAGCCTGCTAAAAACACGCTGCCGGGTTTGGAATTCCTCCCACGGGAAGGAATTCCTCATGTGGCCCTACTGCAGCTTGAGGCGTTGAGGCAGAGTTGGGGCCACTTTCTGCCTGGCACAAGGAGCAATCGGAGCCATTTAAGGCACCGTTCCTGCTGCCGGGAGCGGCCCTGACCCGGACAACCATTTGCTGGACCAAATTAAATTGTAAAGAGTTAAAAAACCAAAACTCCAGGCACCTTTGGGTTCCCGACAGAGGGTCCCCGGGGAAGCCGGACGCACCTGGGGGTTTTACGTGATTCCAGGTAGGAGCCTCGGCTCCCTCGAGGTTTCGGCAGCCCAGAACCCAGCGGGGGAGCCAGCCCCCTCCACTGCCCGTTGGCGCTGGAGCCGAACGCCCGGTGCTCTCCGGAGGCCGGGAAGGGCTCGGGACAGGGAATTTCTGCTGGGGAGAAATAACGACAGTCAAAGAGGAGCCACATCAGCCTCCCCGTGTGCTGGGAGGGAAAAACGAGAGGAAAAGTCTGTCTTACCTGGGCTGTAATTGAGGGCGCATGACGCGTTTCCAGCAGGACAAGAGAAGCTGCCAATCTTGTTGGGCAAAAACTGGGCAAAGAGATTTAAAAATAATGAATTATCGCTCTCCAGACCCAGAACCCCAAAGCAGCGTGATGGACAGCAGCTCCCCTTCCTCCCTGACTGCTTAATTACGAATTAGGGACTAACGAGGGAGCAGCACGGGGCAGGATCGCGCCGCGTTGTCACGGAGGTGCCGCTCGCTCTCCAACGAGGCCAAAATCACCCCTGCCAGGGGCTTCCCAATGCAGCGGAGTTTCAAAATGTTGTTTTTGCCTCAGGACAGGGTGAAACAACAGGCGGTTTCACAGCGACGCTGGCGCGTCCCTGGGCCGAACTGCTGGGACGTAACCGCGTCACCCCCGTGCGGGTGTCACCAAACCCACCCACCTGCGTCTCCGGGGACGGAGCGCGCCAGGAATTCCAGCTTTGGGAGCGGGATAGCGGTGAGGAACGCGGCGCTGCCGCCCCCTTATCTGCTGGGCATTCCGGAGAGCGGGCACCGAGCGGGCACCGAGCGCCCTGCACGGCACGAGGGCCACGGAGACCCCCGGCAGCGCCAGGGCTGGAAGCCAGGGGCTGCCTGGGGAGACCCAGGGGACACGGATCCGAAGGGAACGCCGAGGGAAGCAGGGAGCCAGATCCAAAGGGAACGCCGAGGGAAGCAGGGAGGCAGATCCAAAGGGAACGCCGAGGGAAGCAGGGAGCCAGATCCAAAGGGAACGCCGAGGGCAGCAGGGAGGCACCCGAGTGCCGCCCTCAGGAGGGGAATGTGAGGACGTGAAAATGAGCAGGATTTGGGGGCATGGGGCAGCGTTTGGGGGATGCGGACACCATCAGCAGGGAACACCAGGAAGTTCTGGGAAATTCAGGCGCCGTTTGAGGGATGCGGACACTGTTAGGAGGGAAAAGCTGGAGGATTCGGGGCATTCGGGCAGCGTCTGCGGGGAGCAGACACGGTCAGGAGGGAGAACCAGGGGGATCCGGGGAATTCCCGCATCGTCCGGGAGAAGCGGACACCGTCAGGAGGGGAAACCCGGGGGACTCGGCCGGGCCCCGCGGCGCTCACCTTGCCGTGGGGCGGCGGGAAGGCGCCCGGGGCC